TGCTGCTGCTGCTGTAGGTCACTTTTAAATTGTCCTGAGCACCGTTTTGGAGGAGAACACCATTTTGCTGATCGACTGACGAAGATCTCCGACAGCACTTGCCTTCACCGGTAATGAGTGGCTCATTAGCGGCTGCGACTGAAACTGAGGAAACAGTGGAGGAGCGCCGGGCGGGCAAGTGAGTGGTCTCCTCGGTGGCCGCCGTCACCTTATCGGTCCACTTGATCTCTTCTGTCTGCTGCTGCTGTGGCTGTTGCTGCTGTTCCACCATGGTGCCGCAGCTGATTGCGTCGTCCTCGTAGTCTGTTGACTTGGCCATGTCCGTTTTATGACACTTCTTTTGCTCGCTCACGCTCTCCTTCTTCCCTTTGACAAACAGTTGTCAGAGAGAAGATTGGCAGTGGTGAGTACCGTTGTGAGGATGGTCAGATTGAGGAAACAGGTGGAGAAGGACTGTGTTCTGTGCTCAGTGCTGTGTCACTTTGGGTGGTGGCGTCTGATGATCTGCATCCCTTTGCCTGCAGACGATGACTGACTGACTGTCGCAGTTTGTGTTGCTGCTGCTGCTGCTGGTGGTGGTGGTAGTTTGTAGACGGTGAAGTGACAGTCTGAGAAGGAGAAGAGAGCAATTAGTGGATACCGGGGGAGATTGGAGAAAACAACTGCGAGACAAGGAGCGCATCGCCGCTGCGCTGAGGAAAGGAAAAAGCACCGAGCAGCTGCACCGATTACCATGGCCACAAGGGAAAAGAAAGAGAAAGGTGGAAAATCAGCAGTAGTTTCGAGATAAAATAAAGGTGATATTGTGTTGAGTCACTTGGTTGCAGTCCCTGACAAAAGAAGGAGAGAGAGAGAGGGTTAGCTGACACGACAACTGCAGCAGCTGATCTGACNCAGCTGCACCGATTACCATGGCCACAAGGGAAAAGAAAGAGAAAGGTGGAAAATCAGCAGTAGTTTCGAGATAAAATAAAGGTGATATTGTGTTGAGTCACTTGGTTGCAGTCCCTGACAAAAGAAGGAGAGAGAGAGAGGGTTAGCTGACACGACAACTGCAGCAGCTGATCTGACCGATTTGACGAGGAGAAAAAGAAAGATGGCCAGTACTAAAGTACCATGAAGGCTACTGAATAAAATACAGGTAAGGAGGAGGGCACAGACACCTGAAATGAGTGCTTGCCATTGAAAGCAGTATGCAGCACGAGGCATAATCGAGCATAGAGTGCATCGTCGTGCACGAGTTCACTTCAGTGGCACTAATGCCATTACTAATACAAATAGTAGTGGTGAGCAGGTAGGGCAAAGTAGGAAACACCTGAGTAGATATACTGCTGCTTTTTGCTTGCCTCTTTTTTCTCTTGAACAGCATTTTTCTAAAAGGTAAAAATAGAATGCTGAAGAATATACTATTCCAGAAGAGGACTAAAATGTCTGACAATTTGAAAACGACCATTTGTGGTGACGTAACAAAGAGTTTGTGCCTTCCAGACAGCTCAGAAGGAGTTTGAGGTAGACACTTGAGGTAAGTCACCGACGAGAGCATCAACGATGAGAGTTACTAGGCAACTATCGGAGGCCATCGTAGGGAAAAAGTGAGCAGAGCAGCTTAATGATAATGAGTCAGGGTGCCTGGAAGGAAGAGGGAAAGAGTGAGTATAAAGAGGAAGAGAGAAAGCGGGCAAAGTCCCAAAAGCTTGTCGCTCTATATCTCTTGTTTTTAATAACTTTTGTCATAAAGCATTGTTTTCGGTAAATGATGGTTGTAAGGACAAAAGTTGTCTTTTTCAATAAACTTTAAACGCAAGGGAATGATTCTGTTTTAGAGGGAGCGAAAAATTCAAATTGCAATTTAAACTCACTCGCTTTGTTTTTGAGGGCTGTTTCCACAGCTCATGTCTAAAAGTGGGCTCTCGAAAGCGGTGCGCTCACACCACTTTTCATTTTGCCTGTGCGCTTTCTTCGCGTTTGTCTCTCATTGCTGTTCACCATCTTTTGACGTTATATTCTGCCGTTTTATCCTTCCTCCCTTTTAGTCCATCGGTAAAACTCTGCTTCCTGCGTCATCCAATCAACACTTACATACTGTCCTTTTCATTTTACAGAATTTTCTTAGAATGGCCGGAAAAAAGCGCGTGGCCGAAAATGCATCGGCCATCGACAACGAGGCTGAAGGCGCTGCCTCTGCTCCCAAGGCAACCAAATCCAAATCACGTGCCGCCAAGCAGCCGGTAACCAAACTCGAAACTAAACCATTGCCAAAGACCCGAGGACAAAAAGCTGATGAACAAGCAGCTACTGATAAAGTTGTGACCGAACCAGCTGCTGTTCTAGTGGAGCCTACTGCCAACGGAAAAGATGAGGCGAAGAAACGGGCTCGAAAAGGCAAAGGTGAGGTTACAGCTAAATCTGTTATCAAACTTGCCGAGCCAGTAGAGCAAGAAAAGAACGCAGATGCAGATGACGCCGCTCCAGAGTTGCCTAAATCAGATGTCAAACAGCCAAATGGACGTGTTCGAAAAGCCAAAGCTACTGAGCCCAAAGTCGACTCTTCAAAAATTCAAGAGAAAAAGGCATCCCATGTTAAATCAAAGCCAGAATCTGCCGCTGTAAGTAATGATGCTGCTAAGGCAAAGGCCACTAAGCCAAAACGAGGTGCAAAGAAAGGAGACGAACATTTGGACAATGTCGCCAAGGAAGAATCTGTGGCCAAAGAGCCGGTCAAGCGCACTCGTAAACCAAAGGTTAACGAGGTTCCAACAGAGGAGACAGTGTCAGCTTCAGCTTTAGCTCCAGCTCTAGCTCCAAAAGAAGTGCCCAAGAAGCAAGCTCGAAAAGGCAAGGAAGCCAAGGCCGAGACCATTGCTCAAGAGGAAGTGGAAGAGAAGGCAATGGAAACTGGCGATTCTCCTTCAGCAACTGTGCCAGCTAAACCAGCAAAGGACGGGCCTAAGAAGCGCACTCCCAAGGCTCGCAAAGCCAAGGCCTAAAAAATATATCATGATATCATGCTCGACAAGCACCTCAATCAACTGATCAAGGATCTCACTGGTTTTTAATCTTCGCTCAACCATTACCATACTTTAAATAATAAAAGGAATCACAAACTTGAGAGTCAGCCCATTCTTCTCTCCTTTGCCCCCGCCTTTCTCTTCGCAATCTTCTCCTTCAGCTGGTCCATGTCGGCCGTGTGGAGCATCAGCTTGGCCATGTGGGCGATGCTCGCACAGACTCGCCTCTCGTCTCGCTGCAGCCGCCCCTCGTCGACGTAGTACTTGTCGGTCGCTCCTGCCCGCCACAGGTACTGACTGGCAATCTTTTGCTTCTCAGAGCCTGCCGTCGGACGCAGCCGCCGCCGCCGACCAGCAGCGGTCATCATCATGGTCTTTTTGCCACTACCACCAACAGCACCTTTCGCCATTGGCTTCAGCTGTCGCTGGTAGTCGGCAGCCTTTCTGCAGACCCAGTACGAACCGCAGCAAAAGACAACCACCACAGCGTTGACCATCGTCTGGTAGTACTGGGCAAAGTCCACCGCCCTGCAGTGGAAGAAGTGGTGAAAGTCGATGGGCGCTTCGGCTAGCTTCAGTGGAAAGTCGCTGTAGTCGGTTATCTTGCGCAGCTGAAGCGCCTCCTCGTAGTTGACCGTCACCAGGTAGTACCGCTTGTACTGCTCAATGGCGCCAATGACTCGGTAATCGAGCAGCTCTGCCGGTGAGAGACCGACCTTCCAGGAGTTAGCCACGTCCGCAGCACTGTCAGTGAGACTGACGTGGTGGTAGCGGACTGTCCAGTACTGCCGATCATAACCGTCCCTCTGTTCAGGCACACTCCTAATGAGCACAAGTATGTTCTTCTGTTTGATAAAGAGCAGTGCGTAGTAGTCTTCGGGTGATGCCAGGCGAATCAGATCTTTGGGGAATAGTTTGTTCGGGGCACATTTTCCTGAACTGATAGTTAAGCAGCAGCCGCTCTCATTGAAAGCGCCAATGGAGCACAGGTTCCAAAGGTCTTTCTCTGCATAGTGGTCATCAAGGGCAATGTGTTTACTGGCGAGAATGCGACTGGCTGCGAAGGCCACCTGGTTCTGCTGAAAGACATTATCGCGAGTGTGCAGCTGCACTTTGCGAAGCATCTCCACAAACAAATCCGTCGTCCGATTGAAGAGGTCAAGGTGTACTCCGGCAAAGGCGACAACTGTGTCGTTGAGAGGGCGAAAAGGTATCGTCAGTATCGGTTTGTACTCTTCCTTGTCGTTGCTTACTAACAGTCGTGGAACATTTTGTTAGTACTTCCCTCCAGTGTCACTTGGTGGTCAATGAAGGCGCCCGAGTAGGGGTTGAACTTGAAGATGAATGCCCTCGTCCTGGAGATTGCCTTGCCCAGCTTCAGCAGTGACGTGTCGTCCTCCCGCAGGATCGCCTTGTAGTACACCCCAGTGCTGTAGACGGCGGTGAAGCGAGTCTGCTGGCAAAAATGGTACCGCGCTTCGGCAGGCTTCGAGTACAGCTCCTCCAGCACCAGCGGGTAAATGTCCTCCGACTGAGAGCGAACAGGCGACAGGAAGAGAGAACAACAGACAAGCAGCACAGAAAGAAGCGGGAACAGCATTCCGAACAGCATTGCTCTACTCAACAAATGTGAATGTCAGTTTAGTGTTACGTTTAATACTGCTAGTGAGTGTTTGAGGATGTTCTAAACAGTAAAGTGGAATTTAGTAAATTGTAGTACCAGTGCCGAATGGCATTAATTAAACTGAAGACGACTGTAAAATCATTGTTGAAACGGTTAAATTAATGAAGTGGTAGGAAGAGTTAAAGCTATAGATGAACATTGGAAAATTATGGCACTTGCAGCTGTTACTTGGTGCAATGATAATCACCATGGGTAGTCTTTATCTTGCGCTTTGACGGCATCAGACTGCAATAACTGCGAGCCGAGTGAGATTTCGCCATGAGAAGTCCGAAAACCTCAGAAACGAGCAGTCCATTCGACTGGGCGAGACTCTTCCAACCAGAAGTGCTCAGCACTTCTTTGGTAGATCTAGAGGTGGAATCATTTCATTAGTCATTCACTTTGGGACTTTGAGTTACTCACTCGTTAATAAAGTCAATAATAAACTCCTTCAACTGGTTGGCATTGTGCATGTCAGCAAGCATGAGAATCGCGGCGGTGTTGTGCACCGTCAGCTGCGCACTGAGGGCCTTCTCGCAGAGAGCCTTCAGTCGATCGAGACCGTACTGGCAGTGAAAAGAGTTTAGGTGATGATCAGATTGAGAAACTTCTAGGAAAAGAATGGAAATAGAAACACTGCAAACCTTGTTGGCAGCGACCAGCAAATCAAATGGGTTCTGCTCGATGGCCTCCACCTTTCCGGTGTACATGAAGGCTAGCATCTGCTGGAAAACCTCGGCGCTAATGTCTTCAATGATGATGCGGTTCTCGATGGCCTCCTTGGTTTCGTGTTCTAGCATAGCGGCAAAAACCTGTAGAAAAGGTTTTTGTTTTTACAAAACACTATTTACAAATGCAGTAAAAGCTTACCGGAGACTGACTAGCAACGACAATCTTGTGAGCAGTCAGCGTGACGCCACCAACGACAATCTGCAGATCGGCGTACTTCGACACACCGTAGAAGGCGCCCAGATTCTCCACCTGGCGACATGGTGGAATCTCGAAACGATCCTTTCGCTTGCAACTGGTTATTGCCTTTGTCCCGCTCAAAAGTGTCACCTGACAGCGAACGATGAAGCGATCACTGGCGTTGGTCGATGACTTTAGTTCGCCATAAACCAATTCGGTCAGATACTTGTAGGGAATGTTCCAGGACCAGCCTTGATCGTTACCGGTAAAATTGCAAATGTCTTCGCTTTCTTGAAGTGGATTAATGAATCATCATTAAGGTGAGTTGCTGACGACTCATTACTCGCTTACCCTTGTCAATCAGAAGCTTTCCGTGATTGTCGAGAAAAGAAAAGTGAATCTTGGCTTTCAAGTTGGTCAACTCATCGCTGGTCATGCGAATGGTAAACAGTGTTTGTCGTTCTTTGTCCGCCTTCTTGCGACACTCCATCGTCAGGTACCACTCGCGCAGGGAAGTCAGTGGATCGACAAATGTAGTGGAACGGTGGACAGCGGTATCGTCTTTGCCAAGGAAGAAAGAAAAGTTCTCAATCGCCCACACAAAAGGGCAGACGATCTTTTTCGAAGCCGTAAGGCTCCAGTAGTTGGAAAGAGAAGAAAGTTGAAGATGTTGTTTTCCATCGTCATCCAGATTGCTTTCACGAATCTCAGGAAGAGACTGCTGATAGTTATAATGGTGTTCCACAAAAGGTTCCATTAGATGGGTGTGATGATGAAACAAGAAATGGGCGAAGTAGAAAGAAGTAAGCAGAAAGAAGTGACAAGGTGAAATGGTGACTGTGTAGTCAGCAGTAGGTGAATGAACGTGTGCCTATTTGATCATGATTCATTGGTGAGCCATGATAACGTGGTCTTAGAACTTTTGACCTTACGGTTCGATTTGAGTAAAATGTTTTTAGAAAAGAACTTGCTTCATTGTTTTTGAAAGCACGGTTCTATGGACACTATTTCGACACAGAGCAGGTTCACGTGAGCACGATGAGTCATGACCGCCTTTCAAAAGCGGTACAATTTCGGTAAACAACGAAATGTGATTTTAAAGTCCTACGGTCCTCAACTTTAGAAAAACATATCATTTATCGCCTTGAACGTCAGAATGTCTTGCTTCCGCTAAAGTAAATTGTTCATGCATATTCTCTCGGGCACCTTAAGGTCGATCACAGTGCCTCATCGGTGATCAACCGACCAATCACCCCAACCACCAGAGTGCTGGTGCATTCATTTCCACTGACGAGTACTGTCCTTTTTCCAATTTTTTCCATTGCTACGACTATTGCTTGCATCAATGGAAAATAAAGGGAATGAGGGTATAAATCAACTTGATTGCCCTCGCTGCATACGGCCATTTAACGACAACAGTCAGCAGTTGAGTCAGCAGCAGCACCAGCAGCAGCAGCACCAGTCTGGGAGATTATTCTCGTACCACCTCAATGTCTCACTCACTCTCTTACCAGCTCAATTGGCAATAATCAACGTATTGACTGCGATTTCTCTGGCAGTTCTCTCAATCAAAATCGATTGCGGCCTAGACTGGTTTTGCCTTTCAAACAGTGGCGACTTGTACTACGCCTTCAGTACTCTTTGGTACCGTACA